CGCTGCCGTCATGTCTGAGGACTCGAGCGCCCTGCCCTGGTCCATCAACCGGGACGATTACGAGCTGCAGGAGGTGATCGGTGAGAGCTGGCGCCGCGGAGGGGGAGGCGCTCCGCGAGGCGGCGGGTGACTCGGGAGCGCGGGGACCCGCAGGAGATCGAGGGTTGCAGCGTCCGCGGACCTTCGAGGGGCGCCCGTAATCCCAGAGGTCTGTGGGTGCGCGACTTTGGAGTCTTGGGCTGGGGCCGCGCGCGGGAGCGGGGGAGGTGCCTGTTCACGGCTGCCACGGATGTGTAAGCCTGAGTGGCAGAGGGGTCTCGTGGAGAAGAAAAGTGCAGGTGTGGTACAGGCCTCTCCGAGGTCGTGTGGAGAGTGGAATGTTGGAATTGTGCGTAGGGTCCCCTGTTTCTGGGATTGTGGGACTGCGCGCTTTGGTTCATTCTTGAGCCCACGCCAGCGCCCCTTGACTGGCTGCACGCAGCGTTAGCCAGGGCAGGGGTGGAGCTGGGAAGGCTGCAGGTCCCGCGCTCGTCTAGGTAGGGGCCCAGCTCTAGTCTCCTTGCAGCTGACTTTCTACTGAAGAAGGTAGACATTGAGCAAATAGGCACACGCACGCACGCACGCACACTTAAAGAGAACAGGTTTTGGCAGGTGGTAGGAAGGACATAAACAAGGTGTTGTGAGAAAGAATAACCTGGAGACTGAGGTAGAGTGATTTCAACCAGGGGCATGACGTGATCCCGAACACGGGTGCCGTGTGTGGATGGATTTGAAGGGATCCAGGATCACCAGTTGACCAAAACTTGCACAAACATGGATTGTAATTCTCAGAGAGGCAGGATTGGGGGAAGCCAGGGACTGAGGATGAGGGGAGTATATGTTGGACAATAACTCAGTGACTTCAGACATTCAGAGGAGGTGGGTTTAGCTAAACAGAGGCTCAATCCCGTTCACGTGAGCAGACCCCTGTGTATTTGAGGGCGAATTGTCTACTTTGGTAGCATCCTGCTCTAAAATTAGTTTTATAAAAGTGAGTAGCTGAAGACTTCTTAGCTGCCTTGAAGGTGTCAGTATGTATTTCACTGAGCCTTTTGTTGTTGTTGTTTGTGTGTGTGTGTGTGCTTTGTTTTTTTTTGAGACAGGGTCTCGCCTTGTAGTTCAGGCTGGCCTTGAACTCCCACTATGTAGCTCAGGCTTGCTTCGAACTAACGATCCCCTGCCTCAGCCTTCCTAGTGCTGGGATTACAGGCGTCGGCCACCATACCCAGTCAGTTTTAAAGAAACGTCAAATTTATGTATTTATTTTTTCATTCTACTTGCTTGTTGGTTTAGAATAACTTGGGCTAATTTTATCTAAAAGACGTCTTTTTTCTTAAGCCATTTTATGGCCTGTGTCCTTGATGCATATTGGGTCTTTGATTTGTGCTGGTTAAGCTCAGCTCGGTGTCTTGACTTGATAGCTTCTGCATACTTCAGTTGAAGGAGGGGTATTAAATGGGAGATTCCACAATGATGTCAGAAAAGTAAAGGGGCCCATATCCTTTCAGAAGAGGAATTTTGCTCTTTTCTGATAGGGCATATATCTAGGGTGAAAAGGGTGATTGTAGCATTCATAGTGCTTTTTCTGTTAAGATGATGTAAAATTTAAGAGTTGAAAGGGCGTTAGAGATTTAATGATTTATTACTTTTGTGTTCCCAGAGCCATAGGATGTCTCTGAGTTGTGTCTGTCAGTTGTCTTGATAGGGTTAATTTTCATCGCATTCACAGCGTGATCCCTGGTTCATTAAAGGTTAAGAACTCTACTATGGTTTGACATAGTGTTGTGTATTTGTAGTCCCAGCTATTGGGAAGTTGAGGCAGGAGGATTGCAAGTTCAAGGCCAGTCTAGACAATTTATTGAGACCTTTTCTCAAAATAAAATAAAAGAGAGCTTGGGGTGTGGTACAGTGATTTTGTGCAGCCAGGCAGGCATACATGAGGGCTTGGGTTTGATTCTTAGCACTACAAAATCCAAATATAAATGAAGAGAATTCCAATGTGATCTGACCCCTTTATTTTTTAATCAATTTTACAGAGGTATAATTTAATACTATAATCCAGCTTTATGATATTTCTGCCATCCCAATGAGATTGCATTGTGCCTATTGAGAATTAATCTCTTTTTCCATCCCTGGCTCAGGCAACCACAAATTTGTTTTCTGTCTTTAAATTTTTTTCTGTTCTGGACATTTCACATAAATGACACCATATATACTTCTTTCACCCAGTATATTAAATTTTTTTTCAAAACAATTTTGAGGCATAATTTATCCCCTATAGTCCACCCAATTAAAGTGTTCAATTCAGTAACTTTTTAGTAAATTTACAGAGTTCAGTCACCACCACAGTCCAGTTTTAGAACATTTCCATCATTCCAAAAAGCTGCCTCATGTCCATTTGCAGTAACTGTTTCCATTCTTAGTCCCAGGCAACACAAATCTATTTTGTGTCTCTATAGATTTGCCCTTTGTGGACATTTTCTGTAAGTGTAATCATAGAATGGGTAGTCTTTTGTGTTTGTTATTTTTTCCTTTGCATGTTTTTGAGGTCCTTTCATGTTGTAGCATGTAGTGAACATGAATCCTTTTATTGGACACCAGTCAATGGACATTGGATTGTTTCTGCTTTTTGGCTATTTGGAATAAGGCTGCTATCAGTGTTCATGTCAAGTCTTCATGTGAATGTGTTTTATGTTCCTTCATTGTATACCCAGAATTGGAATTGCTGGATGATATGGTAATTTAACTTTTATTTTCAGTACTGGGGATTGAATTTAGGGACTTTGCACGAAGCTACACCCCCAACCCCTTTTTATAGTTTTTATTTTGAGACAGAATTTTGCTAAGTCACTAAATTGCCCAGGTTGTACTTGAACTTGTGATTCTCCTGCCTCACAGCCTTCCAGAGTGGTGTCCAGCTGGTAAATTTAACTTTTTAAGACATTACCAAGCACATTTTTAGAAATAGCTTCTTCCCATTACTCTATCCTGGCCTGTTTTGGTCTGCCTGCCTGTGTGTGTGTGTTCGTGCACACGCATGTGTCAGGATCAGATCTCATACATGTGAAGTGTGTGTGTCTGAGGTTCAAATCATACATGTGAAGTGTGTGTTCTACCACTGAGCTATATCCTCAGCACTGTTTTTTTTTTTTTTTTTTTTTTTTTTTTTTTTTTTGA